AACGTCAGCAAATGACGTTTTGAAAATGGACCATGTCGTAATGTCGTTTTTGTGGTTGTTATATCACATTTCGGCCACGTCAGCGAGGTAAAAGCTGACGTTAGTCAACTTGTTCGCGTCATCCCACTTGTTGTTTGTGCTCACCAGTTCGTAGTTAGTGAACCAATCTTAAACGTCGGTCTCATCAGCTCCGCTAACGACCTTGGGCTCTCGCAAGCGAAGAACGCCGGGGTTGCTGGAGGATGGAGTGGAAGAGCCAGTTTGCACGTTGTTGGTGGCCATGATGGGAGGTAGCGTTTGGTTGCGCAGCTCCAGGTTTGGGCGACAGCGAATGGCAGCACCCAGGTTCAGGCGATGGGGAATGCCAGCACCCTCCACCAATTGAAAGAAAAGGGGTTTATTGGCGTGTGTTGCAACGGTGGCCCTTCGATGAAAACACAATCGGGACAGAGCAACGGTCAAGCAGATGCCGGCGGCGATCAGCATGAGGTGAGGGAGAGAAGCCCAGAACCCAGTACCCAAGCGGTAGCGATGTTGCTTGCCAACAATGCGTTTTCTTCTTCACATAGGGACCATAGTGCTGCCTTGCACCAAGTGTGCTGCTCCTGCTAGCTAGGCTATGTGGTCACGTGCCACTGTCACTTCCCAAAAACCACCGAGTTAGCCACCGTAACCGAATGGCATGCGTAGCGAGATTTCGACTCAGGTTCTTTGTTGTGTGTAACACATTCCTCTGGCTGTTACTGTTTTCATGTCGACACTGCTGCGTGTGGTCACGTACGTGTGTGTGTTCTGCACATCAATGTCTGTAGGAAGTAAGAGACCCACTTGGTACAGCACTAAATAGTCGTCCATAGTGCAAAGTAGTAAACTTGCATGATTTGTGCCATCCAACAAAAATACAATTTCTTTTTTCCCCGCGAGTAATTATTGCACCCCCGAAAATTGCTGCAATAATGTGGTTTGCTTGTTTTAGCCACTGATTATGATAGTGTGCACCATCTGGCGCCATCTACTAAGCATAAAGGGTACTATTTTTTCACGGAGATTCAAGCCAAGCCAAAGTAGAGATGGGCAAAGCGGCTCACTTCAATGAGCAGCTCCGAACAGCTGAGCTCACTAAAGTGAACCAGGTAAGTTCAACGACTCACTGGTTCACCAGGGGTTGGTTACTCCGTGTACTTCCCATAAGACTCCTTAAATGATGATGTCGGCTCTTGCAGTGCCATATAACCCTTCATTTATGACCCTTTCGAAGGGAATTCAGAGTTTCAAAGTGCATCAATGGCAGTGCATCGGTGTGCGTCGACATGGCAAAACTAGAACCAGCCGCGCCTCGCTTAGCTCTTTCTCGCCCGCCGTTTTTTCACGTTTCTTGTCGCAGGCTTGGGCGTATTCTTTTTTTTTTATGAGTCCACTCACGCGTGCTGCGATATGTGTGATGATTTTTCTTTAATGCATCCGCTTGCTCGTGCTACGCCGTCTTCTGCGCGTTTCAATTCACGCATTTTACAATGATGCATTCAGTCATTCTTGCAGCCACGTGTTCATCTGCAAGAGAACAACAAAATGAATTGCACTCAACACATGTGTCTTTGTCCTCGTTTCCAAAAATCAACATTTTCATCAAACGAGGTGCGACACAACCTTAAGTGATTAACAAATTAACAGGAGACCAACATAAAGATACTTGAAGAAATGAACCGCAATGAACAGGACAACAAAAGAAGAGGCACACAGGACAAATCACTTTGTCAAATGTGCCTGTTCTTTTGTTGTCCCGTTCATTGCGTTTCATTTCTTCGATTGTATGCATCACAAACTGGCCTAAATCTATACTTTTCTAAAGAACATACACATGTTCAATGCCACTGAAGACGAAAGCTTCCAGCAGGAAGGGCTTACAGTGTCCTGTAAGCCCTTCCAGCAAGGTTAGGGGCTTACAGGACACTGGTATAAAAAAATGGAACAACACTTGGACACATATCTACAACAAAATTTTTATTCTGAGAAAAGTTTACAAGACCTCTTGACATATGCACACGATATGGCGCAATTTTCCTCTTGTATGTCAATATTATGACAACAAACAAACGTATACATTCACAGCATAGTGAAAACAATGAAAATTGTTGAAGTATTTAAAAACGGAATAATATTGTAAAGATTTAAATATCTCAACATAAACTCCAGATGAACTCAACGAATATTGGCCGCACTTCATTGATTATTGTATAACTTGTGGTATGAAAAACACGGACCAAATTAACACATAATATCGAAGGATGTGTCATTTGTCCATAAGAAGCACCGATTCTGCAATTCTAGAGCTGTCCTCTGTGTGCTATGATCATCTGAGGTTTTCTGGAATAACCTAACAAGAACACTTCAAATCTGAAGAAAAGTGACAACATTCAATTAGATGAAGAGCGCCGGCAAATCGTGCTAAAACAAACGGGTTTCTTCATCACAAAGCAGTACAGCTTCTCATACATCTATCTAAAGACTCAGAAACACGGTTATAAGGGATGACGAGTGATTAGCCCAACACAAATACAAAGAACGTATTCAAACATGTGGCTCCATGGCCGTTGTAAATTTGTATACAATTACATTGCACATGCTTGCCCACTGCTTGTTTATACAATGACGTAAGCGCTGCGATCACATTCTTTTCATGTCACTCTCTTTCGAAAATATTAACTGTGTCCACACTGAAAAAAAAGTAACAGTACTGCTGGTCGATATGGACGTAAATTAAAACTGACACAATGAAAACTACGGCTCAAAGGACACGCTCGCCTGTCGTTCTTTTGGGCGTCGGCAACATTTACCGTAACATGTTCTAAAAGTATCTAAGCAACAAAACACGATGCACAACAGTGTATATCGTAACGCATTGCGGCGCACAAGCACACAGCAAGCGAGCACCATGTAACGGACAAGTGGAGATCGCCAGCGCATGCTCCGGGAACACCAGACGAGGAACTTTTTCACTGATTCTGAAGCCAGCGAGGCGGCGGAAAGCACGCAACCCAAACTCCTTTCACATGACCTTCGAGATGGTGGGCGCGCGGCATGTTGAGAGAAACTCGCCACGCGCCAACCATCTCGGAGACCATACCTTTCAGCACTTGTTTTCTTTCATCAGCAATAGATGGCGTGGAAGCTGCATTCACTCAGACCCAGGCAGCTCACGGAAAGTGAATGAAACGAAGTGGTGTGGGTCAGTAATGTGCGGATCCGACGGGTCAGTGAGAAAGCAAAAGCCTAGAGATCCTTCTCTCTGAGTGAGCGAGAGAGAACCATCGTTCAGTTCGCTCTTTGGCTCCCACTGAACCATTGAATCGTCGGCTCAAATGAGCCGCCGAGTCGGATCAGTGCGTGTTCGCCGGCTCAGTAGCAGAGCTGCGGTTTGCGAGCCGGCAGGTCAGTTGCCAAGATGCATCAGTTGGAGAGCCGCGAGCAGGTAGCAGTGGCGGATCACTTGCCGAGACGAACCAGTCGGAAAACTGCGAGCAGGCAGCGGCGACGGGTCAGTTGGCTTTGCGATGAGCCGTCTCCCGAAGAACCGCCACTCACTTTTACTGAGCCGCGGATAACTCGTTTTTTAAGAAGAGCCGCTCAAAAAATCCGGCTCACTTCTGAGCTGCTAATTTCTAAGCCAAAGTGGCAAGGGCACGTTGCAGTGTGTTTTGTATGTTGTGTCCTTCATGTTGTTACGTTATAGGGCAATGCAGAAGCTACACGGCTGCTTTCAAGTTGAAAGTGATTGATCATCCACTAAACAATGGCAACAGGGCCGCTGGTAGGCCCTTCGGAGTCGACGAATTTTGTGTTTGCTACTGGTGACGGCAGCTGAAAGCCACCAAGACGCGTTGGGCTTTCCTTGCCTCTAAGCCTGGGATGGATGGTAAACCTTATTTCGTCAGAACGCAACTGTGGGCGATTCTGTTAAATAGTCATCAGCCAAATACTGACGCCCTACACTTACCTTTTGCGGCTTCCTGTTGAGTGACGAATGCTCGTAACGCCCCCAAGCTTTGCGTTTGGTTTTTTAATTCTCAAGTGTTTGCTTCCGCCTTTTGTCTCTCAAATAAATCTTTCCTTGTGTTGATCCTGTGATTTTATTGTTGAGGGAAGTCTTAATTAGTATTTGTCAAAGCTTGCTGTTAGTTGCTGGTGTGAGAATCCCGGTTTGCGGCCACTTTGGTTTTTTTTTTGTTCTGTACGTTTTCGCGGAAAGCTTTCCCCGCGTCATTCTCGCAGCCCCCAACTTTGCATCGGTTTTCCTCTAAAAGAAGTACGAGGATTATGGGAGTAAATACGGTAGTTGGTGAGGTGAATTTTTTCTCTTTCCGCGCCGCACTCTCGAAAGTGGTCCCTCACGAGGTAACCGCTAACGGCGGTGCATTGCGCTTTTGTTGTCGGTTAAAAGCTCATAGTACACTTGACGATAGCATGTCACTTTTCTTATGCGAAGGCCCGCGTTTGTGTAACTATGATTCTTATGCAATCACATTTTAAAAAATTTTTTGTGTGTGTTGCGTTTCTCTTTTCTAATGTTTCTGGTGAACCTAGTTTTCAAAACCTTTTTTAAAATATTATTTTATGTTTGTTACAAGGGCTGGACAGGTCGCGTGGTATATAGGAAGGTAGTGCAGTTCATACCTGGCGATAATCTGTTCAAAAACTTTCTTCAAAGTCTGTTTCAGTGTGATGTGTATTATAAGTAACTTAAATTATGCACTTATGCCCCCACGTTGCTAGTAATTTGTTTTTCAAGCTTCCAGGACGACATAATAAATGCCGCTGACTGCTTAAAAGTGAGGTTCGTCTGCTCCGAAATTTAAATTTTGCTGTTCCAAAAACTGCTCCCAATTCAGTTTCAGCTGTCTCGCCCCTGTACATGCATTTGTGATTTTGAGCAAAAAAAAAAAAAAAAAGCAAGGGGTAGTCATTCGAATTTGTTTTGTTTTTTCACTCTATCTTGGTTACAGGATGGAAATGTCATTGGAATCAACACAATGAAAGTAACCGCAGGAATATCGTTTGCTATTCCAGCTGATTATGCACTGGACTTCCTGGAACTGGCATCAAAAAAAAGCCGTGAGTGAAAATTACCGTCAAAATTTAGGACGATTTTGAAAATATACTGCAAGCACTTCCATTGGTTGTAGGAGAGATCAGCAGAACAGGGTCATGGCTTCTGTTACACACATGATAGCGTTTACTTGGGAAAAAAAAATTATGGGAATTGAGATGTGGACACGTTCACGCAGAAATTTAGCAGCAGCCGTTGCATGATCCTTGTACTTGAGACTATGCATAATAAAGTTTTCTGAAGGACATTGCAATGAGCCTGGTGAACTTGCCTTGAGGATTTGCACCTTTTATATGGTGCCAAATAGGTGTGGTTCACAGATGTTTTTTGCTTTGTCACGTGTATATTCTTTTGTACTTGCATTAAGAGGACCATAAAGAGCAAAACGATTTATCGTGTACTGTACAACCTTGTTAATTCGAGCTCGGTTATTTTGAAATCCCACCTAATTGGAAGTATTTCCGTGGTTCTGTATTTTGCAATGTAAGTTTGAGCAGAGAATTTGAAGTGGTGATCAGGACCAGTCTGATTAAATCGAAAACTTTGGGTGCAATGGGCCAATTTTCGATTGAGATTTCACCGCAAAACTGTGGGAACGACAACCCTTAAGAACCACTTGTCAATGTACTGTAGCGATACTTATGAGTGGCAGCTGAAATACGCCTATCCCTATATTTTCAACTGAAAATATAAAATTGTAAAAAAAAGGGTCGCGAGATCTACTAAAATGTGTGTTTGCGGAAAGCAAGACATGCTTCACTGCAATACAGCAGAGACACGCAGGCAGCATGTCGCATGCTTCTCGCAATGTCAGCAGGTCATGATTTACCCATTCTTTCTGGGAATATAAAAAAAATTAATAAAGAACAGTCTGGCAGAATTAGCGATGTATGCCAACCTCCGAGTGCTGGTTGCTCCAGCAATTTTCACACTTGCAATGTTGGCGGAGTTCTTGTTCGAAACTTCTACTTCGAAAATTCTGTTCCAAAGCTTTAATGATCATATTTCCCAGCCAAAACACGTAACAAATTTTGTCACATTGTTCAATAATAAATTCGTTATTTTACTACAAAGAATGAACTGGGGGTCGCATCATGACGTGCCGACGCAGTGAGAGACTGGCGACATGCTGCTCGTGTCTCTCTACCGTGTTGCAGTGAAGATGTTTTGTTTTTCGCAGGCGGGCATGTCTGCTGATTATGACGTGTCTTTTTTATTTTGTGGTGCGAGCAGCGAGGCCCAGCATTCCTCCTTGTTTGCAGCCAAACTGTGACCTGATATTGCTAGCAAACATAACCCTTGGAGCCGCAAGCTAGCCAACAAAGCAAACGACCAGCCCTGATTACTTTGAATAATTTCAAGTTTCTTGCATCCCACTTTTTGTATGTTACAATAATTCAATAGACCACTTAATTCAAAGATATCTCACGGTTCCAGTGACTTCAAATTAATGGGGTTTTACTGTATCATTAAAGTATAATTTCACAGTCCCGAAAATACCAACCGTTCTTACTGTGACACAATGTTTGCTAAGCGAGAAAACAGGCGAAAATAAAATGTAGGTGGAGACACCATCTTGAGATTCCCACAACAAACACCATGACATCATGAATTTAAAAGGTGTTTACTGGGACCTACATAGCTTGTAATCAATAAAAATGAAGTACATTGTCATCTGTGGGTGTCGTACACCTAGCATACAAAGTTTCTGTAAGTTTCATCAAGTCATTGTTGCGAAAAAAAAAAAAGATTATGTCTTGCATAGAGATTTAGTGAGACATCAAAAAATGAAACTTTAGCCTTCAATTTCTCCACTAATATTGGACTTATGAAAAGTGAAACATATGGCATCAGAGTTTTCAGACAGCTGTTTGTTAAGGGGGTATGTTTGGGTAAACCCACCAAAAAATTAAATTTGCAATTTTGACACCAGAAAATTCACTGCACTCTAAGGAGCAAACGTGTGGAAGCCCGACGTCAAGTGGCTGCTTCAAGCAGTTTAAATGCCACGCTGAAGTGCGCTGTGCGCCCTCTGACGTAAGCAGTATGTGTACATATAGCTTTGTTTTTCTCAAATTGCATTTTCTGTAAATTTTTCAACTTCAATGTACCTTTTCTCAAAAAGTATTGAATTGATTTTGATGGAACTTCGTATGCGTGAGCTACAGCAAGTTAGAAACAATATGAACTAAAAACAAAATGGCTTGTTTTATAAAATGTGAGGCTGTGAATAAATTACACAACAATACATTCCCTCCGTGCCATTGTGCAAGCAGTATTAAAATTTTTTTCACAAAAACTTCATGAAAAATAGATCATTTTTTTAGTTCATATGTAACCTATGAGACTCTACAACAACACGGCTGAATATGGTTACATTTTTTGTGGAAGTTGCAAAGAAAAGCTACATTGAATAAGTGAACCCCCTTTAAAATTTGGTTGTGGGCCATAGGAGGGATAAGCAACCTAGGCATAAAAACCGGTGTCACTTAATACCCAGTGGCATTTCTTTGTGAGCACATAAAATTTTCTGGGAACACTTGCACCTGTTTCTAAGATATTACTCTAATACTGGCATATACCATTTATCCTATCATACCCACCTTAATCTAAAACACGTCATTTTTTCTTTAGTGTCCCTTTAACAGTAAACGTTTGGCGTGGGATGGTACTTTTTAGCTCTAATGGCTTTTATCAGTAGCACGTACTGTGCTGCTGTGCTCAGAAGACTTCACGTATGAGATGGTGTATTGGTTTTACGCAGAGGAGGAGACATCAGCTGACCGATGGTACCTGGGGATCACAATGCTGACACTGACACCCAGCCTTATCCTGGAACTCCAGCAGCGTGACCCTATGTTCCCGCATGTCTCCAATGGGGTCCTTATCTGGAGGGTTATGCTGGGCTCACCTGCAAACCTGTACGTAAGAAATCCGATATTTTCTTAAACTTGTTTGGAGACCTCTTGAAGCAAGAGATGAGGCAGGTGCATTTTCTCACCTCTGCACCACGCTTGTCATGTCCGTACTGTACGTTTGATAATGAAGTGAGATCTGTTCATGTTTGCTTATGTACGCTTGTAGAGTGCTCGCTGGTCGTTTAATGTACATGCTGCACTTAATTTCACACCTAAAGATGGCGGCCTAAGTGCAGGAGATGCACCACTGCTGTGTTCTTGATTTTCTGCTGGATTGAAGGTTTTTTGCGGAATGTGCAAGAAAGCAGTAGTAAAACCCAATTTTTCCATATCAGGGGTTCTCAAATTTTATCGCCTAGAGGAACCACAATGGCTTTTCCAAAGTGCCATGGAACCTTCAATTTTTTTTTACAGCATAAAGGCAATCGAAAAGCTTGAGGGTGGGGTGTCTCTCAACGCGCTTATAGGAATCCAAGGTTGGCCACATCCCACTGCCTCCAGTCATTGTGTCCTGTGGTTTGCAGCATTTCTGGCTATATCAGTCGTTGGAAACACAGGTCCAGCACATCTTGACATTGATAGCTGGCCTCCTTGTCTGTCGAACCCACTGTCCAGCTTTGCAGAGAGGAGAGGCAGTGGTATGAGAAGAGGGAATAAGAAATCGAAGGAGATGGAGTGGAAGTACTGAATTTTTGCAAAAAGTCTTCGGAATTCATAGCCCCGTGTCTGCCAACACTGGTGCACTACAATCATTGCATACCTGCCAAGTCTCCCGGATTGGCCGGGAGACTCCCGGATTTCGACAGTTTCTTCCATCTGTACGGTTGTCATGAAGATCTCCCAGAAATCAAAATTTGTGTGCGTGATCTGGCCGCATTGACAAAAAAAGCAGCTCGATTCGCTCCGCGCTTTTCGAACCTACCCCATTTTATTATGAGTTCAAGAGGCATTCATCTAAACGTACAGTAGAATCTCTGTGGTGCGAAACCCCGGCTAATAAGAATTCGGGAAATTATCCAGCCAAATTTCACTGTATCATCAGTGGGCCTAAATTCGAATGTTCTGAACACATTTCCTAATCACGGCGGGTGACACGAACTTTAGTACTGAAACCGCCGAACGAAGGCTGAGAACAGCGTACTCGAAGCTTCAGAAGTACGCGTGTGACCGGCGCACGCACTGTAGAAGACAGTGCGTGTGATTGTGGTTGCCACAACCGCCTTGGACGAAACCACGGTTGCTCTTGACACGATCATGGCGACGACGTAACTGACTGAACTCCGAAAGTGTGCGCTCAACTAACCAAAGCAACGCTGATTTTCACAAACTCTGCGGACAAAACTGCGGCAGATGTGATTGTAGATGGCATAAAACGACTTAGTTCTGAAGGTGCGTGTGCAGCCAAGCACACGGGGATTGTAAAAGGAACTATCTTTTGCTGCAACTGCCACGCACAAAGCCGCGGTCACGGTGACGCGATAGCGATCTACGAGGTCTGAGGGCACGCAGCGATAGATTAAAGGCAGTAAATATGTAAAGAAAAAGTTAAATTTTAAGTTTCGCGGCAAGGGCGAAGCAATGAATGTGACAGCAACAATTTGGAATGTCACTCTGAGAACGGCAAGCAGATCGAAACGTTCAGCGCGCTGATCACGCACAAATGACGCACGAAAATGATAGTCTACGCTGGTTTTTTGCCGTCACCGCTGCCATCGTTATTCACTGTGTGTGTGTGTGTGTGTGTGTGTGTGTGTATGCGTGCACATGCGTGCGTGCGTGTGTGTGTGTGTGTGTGCGCGCGCGCGCTCGCGTAAACAACGTTTATCGCTCGACACGTAGCGTGCTGTTTAAACAAAAACAATGCACGATATGTAACCACAGGCACGGATGAGTACAAACTAACAAGTGTCCCAGTTGTTATGCCTCGCTGTGTATGAAAAGTGAGCTCTTTTCGCAAACTGGACCTGTGCATAGACCGAAGATACCTTTGTGGGCCCGGGAACTAACGTAATCGTTCCAGTGAAAGGCGAAGGCACACGATTTTCGCCCACCAAAGATAAGCATGTGCACACAAGCATCTACCTCCCCCTCCACCATCTGCGGGGCAAAGTATGCCCGAGAGATAAGCGTGCCTCGGTGCATTGCGACAAGCTGGGCGGCGCCGAGCGCGGGTGGTTTATTTATCTCTTCTCTTTCTTGAGTGTGTGTGTGTGTGTGTGTGTGTGTGTGTGTGTGTGTGTATATATATATATATATATATATATATATATATATATATATATATATATATATATATATATATACACACACACCACACACACACACACACACACACACCACAAGATCTAAGAGACAGTATTGCCAAGGAATGTATAGGGGAAGTTATTAGAATCAATGTAATGTAAATAATAAGAAAGAAAAGTGGGTGAAAAAATAACTTGCCGGCAGCAGAAAGGTGCTGTGAGCAGGAAGGTGCAGGAAGCAGGAACTTCCTGCTCACGGCAAGTTATTTTTTCACCCGCTTTTCTTTCTTATTATTTACATTACATTGGTTCTAATAATTTCCCATATATTTTCCTTGGCATTATTGTCTGTTAGATCTCACTAATATTGTGTCAAAACACGGAAACACGAGCCCTTAAGTATACATTTCTTTCTCTCACACACACACACACACACACACCACACACACCACACACACACACACATATATCTTATATATATATATGTATATATGTGTGTAGCATATATATAGTGTATATATATATATATATATATATATATATATATATATATATATATATATATATATAGGCTCATTTTTTACGATTTTTGACACAATATAATGAGATCTAACAGACAATAATGTCAAGAAAAGTATAGGGGAAGTTATTAGAACCAATGTGATGTAAATGTGAAGAAAGAAAAGTGGGTGAAAACATAACTTGCCGTGGGCAGGAACCGAACCTGCGACCTTCGAATAACCTATTCTCCCAGCCACTTTATTGGGTATATATTGTGAATTTAAACTTGGGAGTGCCAGTCAGCGCCATGCGTACGCGCGCGCGCGTGCGCACACACACACACGCACGCACGCACGCACGTGTGCGCATACACACGTACACACACAGTGAAAAACGACGACAGCGGTGACGGCAAAAAACCAGCGTAGACTGTCCATATAATTGCTATCACAATAAAAAAGGGCTAGACGTGTTTTGGCCTTCCTGTAAAAAAATCTAGTTGTGAGCAAAGCTTTGACCCCTGCTTTTGTGGCAGCCAGCTGCATTGTCTTGTTCATTCAGGTGTGTCCGAGAAAGACATACGCGAGTTGTTTTGACGGAAATAGATTCTGCTAGTTGTGTTGATCCTTTGAGACTCACCTTAGCGGGAAACCCTATCCTTGTGTGTTCGGCCACTCCAAGCCACTATACCCCGTAGGGGCGTCTGCGCAAGTAGGCGTTTGGTGTGTAGCGACACCACGGACCCGAGTTAATGGGGAGGGGGGGGGGGGTTTGACCCCCTCTCACGCCTAGCCATGCGTGGCTTTGCTGTGTCCGGGGAAAAGGGAATCCTGGGGGTTGAGCCAACACAGGGTGATTGGTCCTTTAAGGCCCCTCGGCAGAGGCAACACACCCCTTTGGCCCCGGCATCACGTAGATGGCACCCCTGGGCTGACCCACCCAGGGGAAATCGGCAGTAGCCTTTTCCTATCTCTCTTCACCTAATCTTCGTCTTTATCTCTCACTTTTTATCTGTCCCGTCATCTTCTCTCTTTCATTTACTTCCAAATTTCCTGGCAGCGAGGGTTAACCTGGTGTAGCTATCCAAGCTAGGATAATTCTAACAGGTTATAGCGGTGATGTATGGCTGGCGTCTCCAAGTGTTTGCTTTGAACCTTGTAGCGTCCCCATGTTGGGCTCAGTGGTGGGTGGCCACCATCGCCGCCGAACTTCGTAGTATTTTATGGCAATAGCTCCCCCCCCCCCCCCCCCCTTCCTGATCGCTCCCTGAAAAGGTGGCGCACCGAAGAGACTTTCTTGCTTAACACACCAAAGCCGACATTCCCAAAGTACCATGTTATCCACAGCCAGAACGAAAAGAAGACAGTCCGAGCGATTTCCCCTTTCCTCGTGTCGAAAACTCTCACGGAAGCAATAGGCCCAGGCTATAAATTGACAAAGATGGGAAGTGGCAATCTTCTTCTAGAGGTTCGTGACAAAGCTCAGTGTGAGAAGCTGTCTAAACTTGTAGCCTTTGGGGAAACCCCTGTTTCGGTGGGCCCACACAGGTCTATGAACACTGTCCGTGGCATAGTTTCCGATGATGATCTTACTGAGCTTTCTGAAAGTGAGCTGCTCAAAGGTTGGCAGGACCAGAACGTGGTCAAAGTTTAACGAATAACAATAAGACGCAACAACAAACTGACCCCTATCAAACACGTTATAATTACATTCAGAACAAGTGACCTACCAGAATCAATCGAAACCGGCTATTGGAAGCTCCGTGTAAGACCATACATTCCCAACGCTCGTCGATGTTTCAAGTGTCAGCGTTTTGGGCATGGATCGCAGAGTAACAGAGGACGTGCCACTTGCGCAAAGTGTGCATCCATCCAATACATATCAGAAAACTACCTCAGAAACAACTCATTGTTCGAACTGTGAAGGAGACCACGCTGCATACTCACGATCATGCCCCACATGGAAAAAAGAGAAACAAATAGTAGAAGTTAAGGTCAAATTCAATCTGTCATTCCAAGAAGCACGTCAATGTTTCGCACTACACGACCCATCTTATCCCTCCTTTGCAGATGTGACGCGCCGGGGCGCCGCGCCACATGTTCTGCACCCGTGAATGTCACACAGTGTGTGGCCGCAATCGTGCCACCAGCGCCCCAGGCTAGAGCAGCCTGTACTGCTCCACCACCTGACAAACAGGGCCAGCAGACCCCTGTGTCTGCTGAACCTTGGACCACTGCAAGTGCAGTTAGGTCTGAAAATTCTG